AACCATTTTTCAAAATGGCCGAAATTGGTTTAGGATAAACCTGGTTGAATGTAGCATCATACTTAACTGATTTAGGTCAAACCGGTTTATGGTATTTCTCTCCCAGACCCATTCCTGGTTTAAGTTAACTCGCAGTCCCCCAGTATTCCAGCATGCTTTGCAGCCCTGGGCTGGTCTGGGGGAGCAGGGTTGGCCCCACCCCTCTCCTCCCTAGTCAGAGCACTGTCACTGCTCTGGCTGGCTGAGAAGGGGGTGCGGTGGGACGAGTTGAGGGGATGTAGCCAGACACCAGCCCCAGGCCTGAGATGAAGGGGTGGGGGAGGGAGGGGCCTGGCCGGTGTTGTTGTGGGCAGAAGCAGAGGGGAGGCGGGCAGGGGGGGAGATGCCCCTGGAGGGGTCCCAGCGCTGTCCCCTCTGTGACACAGAAAGGGGGAGAGCATGGGGCATTCAGAAGTGGGTGCTGGACCTGGGGGCACCAGCCAAGCAGCTTTTCCTGTCGGGGCCATGCCTGAGTCCAGGCCCAGCACAGGGCGGGCGTCCTTGGGGAACGGGAAGGCGGTGGCGCCAATCAGGAGACAAGCAGGGATCCCCTTCCCCCAGCCCCCTCTCCTGACTCCACTTGAGTCACTCTCACCCACCTCTGGGGAACCACAGCTGCCGCTGGGGAAGTTGCCAGTGCTTGCCCACAGAGTTACCGGGTGCTGCAGCTGCCTGATTGCAGCCTCCTCTTTCAGATGACCCGGTCTGGGTGGCCTGGCAGCCAGGCCAGCTGCTGTGAGCAGTGGTGGGGCTTGGTGTGGCTGGGAGCAGCAGCAGTGTCGGGTCCCCCAGGAGGAGCCAGCTGGCCCACGTGGCACCTAGGCCAGCATGCACCTGGCTGCCTGGCAGCTCTGCTGCTGCTGCGGGGCTGCCCCAGCCGAGCAGCGTGCCCGGACACGGCACCTGGACGGGGGCCCAGCCACATGGGGCCCAGGGGCAGCAGCCAGGGCACTGCAAGCAGGGAAGTGGCCCTGGGGTCTCCTTGGGCTGGGCCTGGCTGGGGCCGCTTCCCCGCTTGCATTGCCCTGGCTGCTGCCCTTGGTCCCTGCCTTCCCCTTCCCTGGGGACACCCACCTTTCATAGATTTCATAGACATCAGGGCTGGAAGGGACCTCGGAAGATCATCGAGTCCAGCCCCCCGCCCAAAGGGCAGGAAGTCAGCTGGGGTCATAGGATCCATAGGCCTTGTGCTGGGCCTGTGTCTGGGCATGGTGTCGCAGGAGGACAAGCTGCTTGGCAGGTGCCTCTGGTTCCTGTGCCGCTTCCCAGTGCCTCATGTTCTCCCCATTGTTGTGTCACAGAGATCAGGCAGCCACTGCCCCCATGCCAGGCATCCTCAGAGACAGCAGTCCAGTGGCAAAAAGTCCCTGCCTCCTCCCTGGGTGTCCAGGGTGCGGGTCGGGCCCCTTAAAATACACAGCAGGGGGAGGTCCTGAGGGGAAGGGCCCCGACCCCTGCTCATGGCTGTGGGAAGTCTACAGGGAAGGGAAGGCAGAGAGCAGGGACTGTATAGCAGTGGGCCCTGCTTCACTTCATGTGTATGTGTGTGTGACCCCCCAGCTTCGTGCAGCCCCTCGTGCATGTCCCAGCATGGAGGTGACTCTCCCGGCAGGGAAACAGGCCCCGGGCCTTTCCCCTTCTTTCTGCAGGAGGGCCTGAAATGCTCTGCTCTTGGAGGAGCAGCGCAGGGGGTTCCTCTCTGGATCAGGTCACAGACTCCTAGGGGAGTGGGCTGGGAGGGACCTGCAGGGGTCACATCTAACCCAGCCCCTGCCTGAGGGTCCCGACCATCCTGTGCACACCCATACTCTAAACTCTATGTAAGATGATCGGCAGCCCTGACACGAGGCTCCCTGCCTCAGCTGCTTGGGTGGAGAGTGGGGCCCGGAAAAGCTAGGCAGACCCCAGTTGGGGACCCTGCAGGCCAGGGTGGGGGTTTAAACCCCTCCCCAATCATGCTCAGCTTTCCTCCGACCTCATAGCTGCTGCAACAGGGAAGGGAGGGCTCGATCTAGCGCCCCTTGGCTTTTAGCCTGGGCTACTGCAGGCATGTGGCTGCATTTCTAGAATCAAAAGTGAATGTCTGTTCACTTGCTTCCTAGTTCAATCTATGCAGGTTAGACTGACCTGCAAACATTGATTTGATTCAGTCTTGAGCTAGTTAAATGTCTGTACTTAGCCTCTGAGGAGACAAGGACGTACATTTTTCCTCCAATCTGTTAGTTGTAGGCATCCTACTGAGTAATGGGACATTTAAAGATATTTCACAAGGGGGGGTTGATTGTCAAGTTGATGTTTTCAAATAAGCTGCAAGCTTATTATTTATTAACTTACTGAACAGTGGCAGTTTCTGTCATGCCACCATGTGGCAATCGCGCACAGACAAAAGATGAATATCAGCTAATGGTGTATATAGGAGAGATTGCGCAATGATTTTATGCAAAGTGCTGTCAAATGCATAAAGCAAATAAACTAAGAAAACAGAGAGGTTAACAATAACCTTCACAATTACTTGTAACAATAAAAGGTGTGAAAACAATTCAGACAAGTGGCTTTTTTAATGAGGGTGCTGACAGCAAATGAAGTGTGTCAGCATTTAAAAAAATGCGAGTAGATACCTCCTTTTTTGATATATTATTAATACCAACTTAAAACATTCAAAATTAAAATATTAAAAATCCTATGCACTTGTCAGCTATGATGATTGAAATCCTGGTAGCACTGAAATCAATAGGAATTTACTATTGACTCTTACTAGAGATTTATTATCTTTTTGCTTGTCTTCTGTATTTATTTTCACTTTGCAAGTTATACTTTCTGGTTGTTTTAGTATTTGGGTTTCATTCACTTTAGGGGAAAGTTCTTAAAATCAGTGCTTTACACTGGAATCTTTAAACATTGGGATGAGTTTTTGTTGATGATGATGATCTGAACTCTAAAGGCTTGATGGCTACAGTTAATTTTTGGGTTGATTTTTTTAATTGACGTTTTTCCTTTTAAACAGAACCAGTCTTCATTATTCAGCGCGGTAACATATGGATGAACTGATACAGTGCTCTCTAGCCCCTTTGCATGAATGCCCTTACCAGTACGTGTTGGTACGGAAAGAGCCTGGCTTTCTTAAGGAGAAGAGAAATTGGCTGTTTTGTTCCCTGGAACACATGATTTGAATGGTAAACAAGGGACATTCTTCTTTTCTGCTCTTTACCAAGACTTACTAGGCTTAATGGCTAATTGGATCCTTGATGTAATCGGGAGACCCAATTCCCTCATTTGGGACACGGACCGTTTTACCAGTGTGTTGCAGGAAGTCTTGCTGCTGATTTATGGTTGGAAAACCTTGATCAGCAAAGTGGAGGAGTCAGACTTGGCTGTTCTGGAAGAGGTGCAAGCTAACCTTATGTTGGGTACAAAGCTGGGGGTTGTTGCTTTTGCAGGCATGTGTTCAAACTGCACATCATGGGCTGCCTTTCAAAGCACTACTCTAGGGCAGTGCTGTCCAGAAGAGGCCAGTGGGCTGGCCAAGGAGAGAAGCTTTGTGCTGTTGGGGAGGATTTGGGGTAGGAGCAGTTGGTGTTCACGAGCAGGTGGCGAGTATAGTTTGGGAGTGGAGAGCAGAGAGTCTGGAAGGAAGGAGAGTGAGGCTTGGAACTTCCACAGGTGGTAATGATATGTGGTTACTCGGATTAAATACCGAACAATTCTTTAATTTTGTGCACGTGGCCACACAAACCTTAGAGGAAGCAAACATGATTAGGAAGGGGGTAGCCCAGTTCCCAGTGAGGCTACCTTTGCCTTGTAGGGAGAGGGGAGGACTGCTTTGCCTCCTGATCTGATGAAGTGCTTGCCTATGAGTAGCTCTGGAGCAGTACCAGACAGTTCAGGGTGGTGGTAGGGATGGAAAACTTTGCTTGACCTGTTTTATTTGTTTCTGGCTGCTGGAAAGCTTGAAAAGAGGGCTGTGGATTTAAATAGAGCAGTGATTTCATTCTGGAGGCTGCACGCTTTTCAATGTGGGAAGCATTTATCTCTAAAGTCATTTCACTCCCTTCTGAGTCTCAGAGGCAGGTACTGACCATATGTCAATGTTGCATAGAAGAGGTGACACTGAACAGTGTAACGAGGACACAAATTTGCCCCAGGCTCCTAGATGAAGGGGACCTGATTGGTCCAGCGGTTTCTGTCTTGTTGGTGTACATATTACATTCATGCAAGGAGGTTCTAGTTTAATAATCCATTCTGCATGAAATAGACCTATTTCTAAGCCTACAGGGGAACGAGATATGACCTCCATCAACTGTCACCATGGTAACTGTACAAATAACTTTAGTTCTCATTATTTTGCTCAGCTTTAGAGGAAGGTATGGTGCATTCTAGGCAGCCTGTGTATGTCTTTCAGATGAGATTTTTAAAAAGCAAAGTCTTACCTCTCTGTGCTCTCTTGTCTCCTCCTATGGTGCTTTTGTGGATCACAGCTCAGTGTAGCAGTTTTGTTCATGTTCAAGTTATAGATTGAGCCAGACAATTAAGCAGTTGCTTAATTTTTTTCAAATAACACTGATGAACTGGAGGCTTGGGATTTTGACCTCAAGCCTCTGGTTCTTTTTCATTGGTGTCTTTTCCTGCCTGTGTTGACCTATGGCCTTCTGTTATCCACTCGGAGATAGTTGTAGTTCAGTGATGCTCTACATTTAGCCTTGATCTTGCAAACAAGGATGCAGGTAACTCAGTGCACACAAGCTGCCCTGTCCATATTAGTGGCACAAACAAGTGTTGACAGAATTAGAGCCATCATTTGGAAAGCATATGGGGAAACATCCACAACCGATAAGTCAATGCCAGTACGGTTTCTTGTTCTGTGTGACTGTCCTTCTGCTCTGTTTTATGCTTGATTTTTTTTTTTTTTTTTTTTTAACAGCACTGAGAGTGAGTAAACTTTCTTCTTCTTTTTCTGCTTTCAGTGTCAAACCAAGTTCCCGGTCCCCCGAGGCAGCTGAAGATGAGAAGGACCAGCGTACAGTAACAATCAACCCCTCTCACATGAAAAAGGCATTCAGGGTTATGAATGAATTACGGAGGTACTCTTTCCACTTAGCATACATCATCTCTGGTTTATCAGAAATGAGCTGAACAGAACTGCAAGATGTTTGGGGGACTTTAAAAAAAAATTTAAAAATTTGTGACATCTTCAGCGCATAACTCATGAGTTATTAACAAAGCAGTGGGAAGAGCCGGCCAAAGGATAGCTTTGCTTTTTCCACCCACACACATGCCTACCTTTTTGTCCAAAAAGAAGCTGGCTGTGTCATATACGCATTCTGAGCAACATCCTGCATTTATAAAAATAAGTGTTTTAAAGTTTCTCCCCACTTAGAGCAAATCTGCACATAAGTATGTTCCCAGCAGAGAAGATCAACAATAGACTATTGCAGACATTAAGACACCTACACATAATTACAGATAAAGGTTTAGTAATGTAGTGTTCTTGTTACCTTTCATGAATGGTGTCTGTGCTCTGCTTTGCAAAGAACAAAAAAATAACCCCCAAAATTCCACTAGTGAAAGGACAGCACTTCTGTCAAGTGCGTGTGTAAAAGCCATATGAAGAAAACTGTTTCGTGACTATGTGCATGGATTTGAGCTTCTCTTTACGGCCTTCTTCCCATGAACTAGATAGAAGTTAACTGAGTCTTTTCTTTGTGCAAGGTGGAGGGGTGGGGAGAAGGCTAAAACAGGGAAATGGAAGCATCTTTTTTTCCTGGTAATTTAGTGAAGGGTGAATCCATTTCCACCTTGGTCTTCCTCTAATCCTCTGTTGGCACATGGAACAAAAAATTGAAAGACAGATGGAAAACAGATACTGGCATGGTGTAGTGACAGCCCACTGCTTCATTTACCTGCAAAATCTAATATGCCTTATTGAAGTGCAATGGGAATATTTGGGGCCCTGCCAGCATTTCCTTTTTGGTTTTTGTATTTAGCTAGATCCTATACATTACTTGGCTGAATGTGCAAAACCAGAGCTGCCTTTTAAGCACCTGCTCTCTGGCAGCTGCATGGCATATTCCTAGTGTTCCTTTCTTTCAGCTCCTGCAGTATACAATCTGGACCCTTTTGTAGCCTGCCCTCAGGCAGTCAGGGCCTGTGTTAATGGTTACCTTGAGTAACAGCGATTTTTAATTCTCATTTACCTAGAAGTCCCATATGTAAGGTGTAGCTTAAACTATCTATATGCCTAATAGTATGTATCTATATTAACTGCTTTACTGCAATAACCGCTTGCTAGAAGGGGGAAAGGTTGTTGGTAGTTTTGTGTAGTGGCAAATGTGGTAGGCTTCTTTGCACTTTCTCCAGGGGCTGTTATCAAGGGAGATGGAGGGAATCCCAACTTGTCTGAGCTCTTGGGCTTTAGTCTTAGTGATTGGGCCCTCAAATTTTGTCTTCCCCCACCACAGAACACCCCCCTTCCCCTGGGCTCCATTGAAGACGGGGTCTGTAACTGTGGCTGAAGCAGCATATTCCCTATAAACTAAAGTATGTAAGCGTTCACAGTTGAATGAATAAGCAGACCTTTCACTCAGGCTTCCTAGAAAGCTTTGTTGGGTCTGTAAATTATGTAGCTAGTTTATGGGACTTTTGCTCACCTTGTTTTCCATTACCAGACATTCTGAAACTCTCTTGTCTTTTCTGGTGTTTTCCAGCAAGCAGCTCCTCTGTGACGTGGTGATTGTTGCTGAAAATGTTGAGATGGAAGCCCATCGCATTGTCTTAGCAGCCTGCAGCCCCTATTTTTGTGCAATGTTTACAGGTACTCTTTTGTTTTCAAGCAGAGTATTATGGTGGACTGTATCACTGCCGATTCCAAGCGATGCATGATCTTTCCTTCACAATCGGTCAGTCGTATCCCAAATAATCAATATAAATATAGTCAGTGTTGCTGCTGCTGCTGTCCTGAGTATATAGGAGGCCTTTACTTTGTTCTCCACCTGAGCCATCCACTCTCTGTTTCTCTTCTTAAGCTAGGAAGCTGTGGTGCACCCTCCTTTGCCATCCCCATCCCCATCTGAAAAAGAGCCATTTAAATCAAATGCTCACTGAGAGAGCTGTTTTGTTTTTTAAGATCCTATGTATGGCTGTTGTGTAGCTAGTTTTGGGAATGATCCCTTATGTTACAGTAGGGTTTCAAAAAGAAGGGAACTACTGTTGTGCCTCCTTATATGGATGCTATTTCCTTTAAAAGTAGTGTTAAATTGGGCCTGTTTCCACTGGAAATTGGAGGTGTGTGGCATCTTCCAAGGTTGAGCTCATCATTAGCAAAGCATATTTTTTTCCCATAGCTTAAAAGCTATCGTGGGGTCAGGCAAAGTCTGTGCTGGGAAGAGCATGGCCCTGGCTGAGGGCAGGCTGAGAGGGAACGTGCTGCTTCATATGGATAACGTGCTACCTTCACATTTCTGCAGTATAGTGGGTCAGGACATACATCTGCATTAGCAGGTGTAGGCTGAAGGGTAGTTGAGGTTTGCCGAGATGGCAAGATCTCTAAGCTAGTAAGAGTTATAGTACATGCTTTCTAGAGAGCTGAGACTATCTTGAGGGATCTTTGTGCCACTAATAATGCTGCTGAGTAAGTAGCAAGACAGAAGAGAGGGCAAAGCTCAGAAGTCTTCAAGTGCCCTGTGTGAATTACTGTTAAGTTGGTAGTAGCTATTATACCTGACAGCAGTGCAGAGATCTGGATGAGCCTCTGATCCTTGCAAGTCATCTCAGCTGGTGAATAACCCTGGTTTCAGGGCAGTGAGAGGGGCAGGCAGGGCTTGTGGTGTCTTCTGTCCTGGGGTTCCGTGGGGTCCAGTCGTGGTCAGAGCGGGAAGTTAAACGATCATTTTCTAACCACAGTCATGGGACTCCTTTTAAAACTGCTCTGGGATGTAACTGCAGCCATTACTCTTCTCTCCTCCTCCAGTAACAGAATGAATTGAGCTGTTGGTCACTGACTCTTTGTTCCCTTAAGTCTGTCCATTTCCAGGTTTTTGAGGCCTGGGTCCCACCGCGGTGAGGTGGGCAGCTTTTCTCTGTCCTGCAGCAGAAGGGTGCTCTGAAAGAACAAGCTGGATTTTATTTTTGTGGCTTCTCTGCCTGGAGATGAAGCTAGGTTGCACTAGGGAAACTGCACAACCTCCCCCTGAGTGGGTGTGTGTAGGGGATGTGGAACATGCCTGCAGATGCAGAGGGAACTTTGATTAATAATGCAGGGCAGCCTGGTTCAGTGGGAAAGAGCTCTGGACTGGACATCAGGAGACCCGGTGTCTCTTGGAGCCAGGGAGCTGCGGTAACCTCTCTGCTGTGAAGTACAAGAGGCACTTTGCCCTTTGGTCCCACATGTCACTCTGTCTTGGGCACAGGAGGGGCAAAGCCTGGCAGAGGCTTCCACAAACTGTCCACCAGTGTGTTTTCAGGTGTAAGCTGGAAGGACTACTTCCAGCGGGAGATGGTGCTGGGCATGTAATTCCCTCTCCAGGAGGAGGATGCCAGTTAGGGTAGTTGTGCAGAAGCATAGCCAGCAGGGACCAAAGTGAGGCCAATAACAATCTTTGTGTGATGCCATGTCAGTCCCTGTAAATTTGTGCTGGATTCGAACCTGTGATCTTGAGAGAAAGAGCCCCCTCTCCCAGTTCCTTGGTCAGCTCATCTTCTCTGGCAAACGGCTCTTTGAAGTTCTGAAGTAAGTAGGCATTCTCTACTGAAAACCCTGGGACCTACACCTGTGAAAAGCAGGGAGAATCTGGACCAATGCTCCTAAATTTCCCCTGGAGGGTCTTTTCTTGGTGATTTAACTTGTAGTATTTTGATCTAAAATCAGTTCAGAGCTGATGCTGCAGGGAGGGTCCTTAGTGGAGAATGCATTGAGAAGCATAGAAGCAAGGCAGCTGCACTCATGAAAACCTTTTCAAATTTTCTGCCGCATTCAGACTCTCCTCCTCCTCCTCTGTGTGTGTGAAAAGGCTGCTGTTGGGTTACCTGATATGCTGGGTATTCTCGTCCTTGGCTCATGTGAACAGATCTTTGATTTAAAAAACAAAACAACAAGAAAAGAGCTTTAGTTGGTAATCGGGAGGTGTCTCTGTGGGGCACAATAAGTACAGGGCAGGGCAGGCTGCAGTTCTTTGTAAAGGCAATGTCGGTGGCAGCAATGTGAGGAGGTGGGAGAGAAAAGCTGGCTAGTGCACAGTTTGTGTTGACTCCAGCTAGAAAAGGAAGCAGCCTTGTCAGCCCAGGACAGAAGGCAATGTTTGTTGGGGGGAGGAGGAATGCGCAAAACCAGTATAGAGTGGTTGCAAAATGTAATTTCCAATGAAGGGCAGTGCAGTCTGGTGGGTACAGCACTGGAGTGAGGACACGGGGTTCTGTTCCCACCTCCGTTGCTGACCGTGGCTAAGACACACTGATCTCTCTGTGCTCCCCATCCTTGCTATCTTTTCTATCAAGGATGTAAGCTCTTAGGGTGGGGGTTGCATTAGTGTTACACTTCAGTCCAGGGGTGCATCTTGTCTCGCTAATTTAGAAAATTAATGACACCAGTACTTTTGGACATCAAGCAAGCAGGGCATGCATCTGATATTAAAGACCTTGTTGGGTGTGTTTTTTGGAAAGGGTACATGGGGTATTAATTCCTCCCATCATTTCTACACCCTTATGGATGTCTTGGGAGATGTGATACCTGTCCTAAATGTGTGCACTTGGGCTTGGCTAGAAGCATTCATCACCCACTGCTATTCTCCTGGCACCAACTGCTCTCTTCAGCTAAGTGTTGTGTTGAGACACTTCCTGGATGCAGAGGAGTGGGCAACCCTGGCCTGTGGAGCAAGATGAAGCGATTCATTGGGGCATGGAGCAGGTAGATTTTACCACAGCTGGTTGGCTGCTCTGGCATAGGAGCCGAACGTTACCAGGATGGGGGCTGCCACTTGCCGAGGAAGCCAACCACAGGGTTAGCAGATTGGGGTGGGCGGGTGGGTCTACGCAGCATTTATTTTTGTTGGCTCTGTCGTGCCTGAGTGCCACAGAGGGAGATGATGACATCGGATCCATCTCCTTGAGCTATTTGCGGATTGATCTCAGCCAAAGTGTATTTCAGTGTATCCTCTGCCCTTCTTGTTTCAATGGACATACCAGTGTTTGGGCTTCCACACTGTGTCTCTGCTCAACTGGACTGACAGAGCGATGCTGCTGTGTGTGCGCTCCGAAACCTGATCAGGTCTGACGCACGCAGACTGACCTGTAGCATTCTCTTGTCAGGACTTCCCTTCACCTGGAGGAATTAATTTTTTACAGTGACATTCGTAGCATAAATTAAATATTAGATCTGCTTTGAGTCAGGTTTGATTTTGTAGCTGGAGGTCAGTTATCCTGGTTTGCTCCTAAATTTCCCTCTGTGTACTTAGAAGTTACATTTCTTGTTGCATTTTTTTGCATGTGTATGCATAGTTCCAGGCATACTGCACTGGTATGAAGACTGTTGGCTAGATCTGCTCACCTTGTTCTGACTAATAGTATAATTCACATCCCTGGGTTTGCTGGTATGAGTAAAGCCAAGTGGGTTTAATTCCAAGTATCAAGCGGGTGTTAAAAATTGGGCCCCCTTCTGTGTTTGACTCCACCTCATGTGCTGTGCTGTTCATGTTCCTCGCTACACTGTCATGTCAGAGATGACTTGACTCTTTCCTCTGTGTGATCGCAGGCTATAATTATGTTGCACACAGCCTGCACATGGAACTGTTCTTTTTAATCCCACAGCAGCCGGCACTGAGTCACCGGGTTTCTTAATGTAGTGCTTATTCAAGCCCCAGTGAAAGATTTGATGTTTCTTCACTTTCTCCTTTGTGTAATTGCATTCTTTTTTCTTTCAATGTTTCACTTCCGTTGCTGGCATGATTTTTTTCCCCCTTATTTCTTCTCTGGTTTCCAAAGATGCTGCTGACAAAACCTGGATATGTGATGTCACCTTCTGCAGCTGATCATTAAAAGGAGCCTCAGGGATTCCTTTCTTGTACTTCCCGAAGAAGTCTTTTGTTACCAAATCCTATTGCTCAAACACGCACACACGCATATTGTGCGTTATAGAGTTTGTTCAGCGTTAAGCTCCGGATCAGCTAGGGAACAAGGGAAGCTGTGGGCGTAGGTGCTTGCACGTTCAGGGGTCTGTTGTTTGGTTCTTGTATTTGGCGAGACTCTTGCTATTGTGCGTTTTTTTTTTTTTAAAGTAACTTTGCATTTCTTAATATCTTTACTTGGATTTCGTAATGCCTCGGGCATGATGACTGAGTCACTAGCCAAGTAGTAAGTTGCGGTCCAATTGTGCCTTGGTGCATGATTCTACCAGTTGCAGTGATTTTTATATTTTCTAAATTTGGGGAGGGTAATCTAAAGAGGGGTTTGTCTGTAATGACCTCTCTCAGTCTCTCAAAAGACAAGTTCTCTGTCACCTTTAGTGCTTAGATCTATGTGAGAGCTGTTATGTATTTTTCTTTCTCGTGTATACTTTTGAACATGGGTATATATCAAGGGCGAGTTACTTTAGGCAAGCTTCCAAGCATGTGAAAACTCACCCAAACCACAAGTTTTTTCAGTTTGGAGACCTGAAGTAGAAATCTCAGAAGAATGACCTCCTCCTGGGTCTTCTTTGAGGGTATGGACAGATGTATTGAATGTTACTGGCATAAACTATCTCATGGTGATTTATATGTGTGTTCCTATACCGGTATAAATGTAGTGACCCCATTTAACGTGACTCCTGTTTCACTTGGGGTTGAAGGTGGAGATTTACGTCCCTTAGCTATAGGAGCATTCAGGCATCAGTTAAGTCACAACAGCTGACTTGCACTCCTTGGTGGCAACTCTTCATCCTCATGTAAAACAGAAGAAAGTTATGTCTGTCCACAGCTATTGGGACTATTTTGGTGCTACCTCTCCCTCTTGCAGTTCATGGGCTATGAGAAAAATCTTTGTCTGCTTCATGAAGATTCTCTCAGAGGTTGAGAAGGTAGCACTAGCAGACTTCTGAGTCTTGCTAGTCGTCCTGGATCTGCAAGGGCGGCAGCTGTGTTTGGGACATTAAACGTGATATATTTGTCTGTGTCTTTTTTTTTTTTTTTTTTTTTTAAGTGGGATGTGAGGGAGAGTTTGCTGGGGGCATGTGGGGAGTTGAATGGTGGAGGAGAACAAGAAAATTCTAAACGTTCTTTTGAACTGAATTTCAGGAGACATGTCTGAAAGCAAAGCAAAGAAGATTGAAATAAAGGACGTTGATGGGCAAACACTGAGTAAGCTGATTGATTACATCTACACGGCTGAGATAGAGGTCACTGAAGAAAACGTTCAGGTGAGCTGGCCTCGACCATTCTGCTCGAAACCGAAGAGAAGACGCTTCCCTAACTCAGGCTTGCAATTGAAGATGAAGTATCTGTCAGTGTGACTGATCTCTTCAGGCCACACAGAATGGAAAGCTGAGGTTGAACTGCCTTAGTTTTCTGTGTAGTCTTGAGGCACGTTACGTTTAGCCTTCAGGCCTTGCTGTTAGGAGATTAGGCTTTTGCTTTCTATGAGGTTGTGCTAACTTGGGGGTCAGTTTGTTCGAGGTCAAAATACACTGAAAACATGCAGAAAATAGACTGCTGGGTTAGTTCCCAGGAGAGAACTCCTCTTTGGTTTTAGTTCTAAGCAGTAGTTTGGGCTGTTGTGTGTAGCTTTGAGTAGATTATAACAGTGCAGCAAGTTTAGTGTTAAAATTGGAGCTTCTCTAGACGTTTTCTTATTCCCCTTTCCCTTGTGTGCCATGTGGCTTACACTTGAGGCTCTTTGGGGTAGGGGGCCTGATTTTGTTCTTGCGCTAGTAAAAATCAGGAGTATCTCAAGCCAGTAGAGTTGCATCAACTTGAATCTAGTGGGTAAGTGGAATTGGGTTCCCCTTTATGTCCTTCCACAGAACACTTTATGCCTTCATGGTGTTCTGTGAGCAATAAAGTTTTCAGCCAGGAAGGGTGGAGAGGGAAGTGAAGTGCCCATATGAATGAAATCTGCTGCTATAAAAACCAAGAACTAGATGTGTGGTTCAACTTTGGTTATGAAGTCGGCATTTTTGGGGGTGGTCCATAAAGTGAAGAACAGAAGGACGGTTTGTGCGGAGTGGGAAATTGAAAATCAACAGGTTATACAGACAGCCAAAATACTCGTAGGTGGGTATAAAGAGCATCTGAAATGACAGAGTAGATGAGGTAGCAGCCCGCAGGTAAGGCAGCTGCCTTTGCTCTTGTCTTGTGGGTGGGACTGCAGGAGAGCAAAGCTGCCCTGTGGCTACATTTCTGTTTCTGGCAAAAACGTGGCTGGTGGGATGCGTGTTAGTCACTGGATTCTGGAGCGGGTGCTGGGAGCCTCGCTGCAGGCCTGGCTTCAGCTACAGCCAAGGCTTATTCGTCAAACTTTTAGTTTCAGTGGTTTTCAAAATTCCATTTTTCTGAATGGTTTTGCAGTTGGACAAGGGAGGAGCGACACATCCTCAAATGACCAAGTGAAAATAGACTCCGGGGAGGGTGAGCTGGGAAACACCACTGTCCCACTCCTTTCCCTCTGCCCCCACCCCTCCAGTTACTTTAAGGTTTTATGCTATGTTGATATACCCTCTTTACCTTCCCTAAAAACTCATTCCTATGCAGTAATTGTGTGCGAAGTACTGCAGGGTCTCCCTTTCACCCAGCAGGGGCATTTACTTCTCCTGCCACAGATTTGTCTTTCTCATGAGCTAGCTGTGCATTTCTAAAGGGATTTTATACGGCTTGACCAGTTGTTAGACCTTCTCTTCTCTCGCAAGAAACAGTTTCTTGGTAGAGTTGGTACTATGTTGTGCCAGCTGCTTTCAGTACAGAAATGACAAGAAATGAATTGCCCAGTGCCACAGAGTGAACAGATGCAACCAACTTAGCCAACAAGAGAGAAATAAGATATAGGTCACTGGTGAATAAAAGTGAGGGGAGAGGAAAAGAGATGAGTAAAAGTGACACTGGGATTGGGTGTGAACATTTCAAGGTCCATACAGCTTTCCAGCAATTAAAGAAAACCTTCTCAGCCTGTTCTAGCAGAAGTGTGCCGCTTGACGTTGCAGCCTAATGCACTGTTTGTTGGGGCAAGCTCTGTTTTTTTCCCCCAAGGCCCATGTTTTGTCACTTCAGCTGCATGAGAATCACTAAATTAGGAAAAAAGTAATTTGAAAAGACCGCATATTTGGGTTTGTGAAGTTTTCTTTGAGGAGCTCCACATGCCCAGATCAACCAAGGGATGTGGTGCAGTCCATCCCTGGATCCCTTGGAGGGAGACGATGGGTCTGTGGAAGATAGGGAATGCCAGCAAGTTCTTCTTTCGGGCTCTGGAGAGGATACTTTCCAGTCCTGTGTTCTTCATGCCAGTCCCTGGATGCCTGCATACCACCCTTGTTGGCTTTGCTGGAAGCAGCATATGTGCATCTGAGCAGAGCCTAGGGCTGTGTCTGCTAGCAGTGTGGCTTGGTATAGCTCTGCTAATCCCTAGCTGGCCACATGTCATGCCAATTCCATGGATTTCTCAGCTAAGAGAAATCTGGTTTGTACTGGGACAAATGCGTCTCCCATTCTTTTTCACTGCCTGCCTCAAACCTGCTGCTTCACTAAGGGGAACAAAGGCCTGGCACTGTCAGAGAGCTCAAAGTGACTTCCCTATGTGGAGCTGAAGTGCAGTCAGATTGGAGAATTGCTGAACTGCCAGGATTAATCAAGAACTTTGACGCAGTGACCGTGGTGAGTGGTAAACTGTGCATGAAAGGGCTGTGGTGTAGGTATTTGGGAGGAGGTGGGGCACTCTGACACCATGTCTGTACTAGGAAGGTTTGCCGCCACCGTGCTTGTTAGCTTATGGTTGCTGACGTTGCTGCGTCTGCAGCACATGTACGCTTGATTGCCTTTGCCAGCGTTTTGCAGCCTAACTGAAAAAATTGTTGGCAGAAAACACATTTCACTGTTGGAAGGGGCTCAGGGCTTACTGCTGCCCAGGTGGCTGGAGTGTGTCCAGGCTGCCGCGGATGTGTCATTCAGGGAGGTGGGTTTGTTCAGGCGACAGGTTGGGTTTTGCCAGCTTACTTCCCATCTGCTGTGAGCTGGTCACGAGGCCTCAGTGTGGTGTGGAGCAAACCAGGGCTCCCAAAACAATCTTTCCCCATGCAATGAATGCCCTCCTTGTAAGGTGCTTGTTGCAGAGAGGGAGATGAGGGACTCCAGGAGTGATTTACTTGGGTTTCTGTTTACACCAAACCACTTACTCTTCCTCAGAGCTCAGGAGGGAGGCAGCACCAGTTGGCAAGCAGCACTGTATTCAGCACGTATGCCGGAGATGCCTGTATTATGTTAGCCTTGGAAAATAGGGTGTGTTTGCTTGGTGTGCAGCATCTAGTCTAGATAACCTCAGGGGGCTGCATGTGATTTGGAGGGGCAGGATCCATCCTTCCATTGGAAACTTTTCCCTCTCTGGGCACATCTACACAAGACGTTTCCTGTGGAGCTGCCTAGTTAGCTCCGCAGTAAAGTCTCTGCATCTACACGAGTGGCCCTGTTAGGCCACAGTAAACTAATTAACTCCTCTGTAGGTTAGTGCTTGTAAATACAAGTGCTGTCTTGTGGTGGATTTCTTTAGTGTGCAGCAGTGCATGTGTAGATGCTGATGGGGCTCGTGGGAGCACAAGGGTACTTCAGTGCTGGGGCTGCCTGCTGGCTAGCCGTGCACTGGAATACCCTCATGTCCCAGTCAATCCCTCTGCAGCATGTTGAGCTAGGTCAGAGCAGCTCTGGGCTGGCAGGCTGGCCCCCAAACCCCCTGTTAGCAGGGGCTGCTCTGACCCAGCTCATCGTGCTGTGGTCCCAGGTGCACATGTAAACGTGGTGCCCAGGAGCAATAAACTCTACAGCAATATTTGCTGGAATTAATTGTGTTGCATTGCTTTAATTGCACGTGTAGACTTGCCCTTTGATACCAACACCCCCCCAGAAAAAAGGCTGCTACTCACGTACATTTGAGGCCCAAGGCCAGAGGAACCCATCCTGGCAGGAATGTTATAGCTGTCCTTAGAAGAGGAACCACCATGTTAGATGCAGCGAGACTGCTCTTTCGTTGTTTGGCAATGGGGTTTTCGCAGTGGACCCCTGAGAGCCTTCTGACAGCACGAGGCCAGGTAGAGAGTGTTTCTAAAGTTATTTAATTACTTGTGGGCATCTCAGGAAATTACCATCCTCATTAAGAAAGTCATTATCAATAAACATTAGGACAGTAATGGTTCCCTGGGAGCATCCTGATTAAACGGATTAAACACTCCCAAATTAGGAACGGGATCATGTGTGGGATGCGTGATACCTGGTGTACTTGGTGCAGCAGGAAGGAACATGTGGGTAGCACGTGTAGAATGAAAAAACAGGAGTGTCCGGAGATTGGAGACTTGGGGGAAAGAGCTTGACACTTAGATTTTAAAAATAGCATACACGGTGCATTAAGTGTAATCAGGGTATCTGCAGTGCGTTGTGTGCATCCCTCTCATCTGGGAACAGTCATTTACAAAAAAGAGCATGGGGAAGGTGGTGAAGGCTGAAGGAGAGCATAGGAAGGACATTTTTTCAGGGTCCTAGGGTGGCCTGTCCCTCCTTGCTCTCGTTCTGTCCCGAGTGGGGCAGTCCTTGACATCAGTCTGCTGTGGTTCATAGCCAAGCGGGGGTCCCCCCAATCTCTTAGAAAGAAACAGGTCAGATAAGCCTGGAGGAAGACCGACAGGCACATGGCACCTAGAAAACTCTAGCAGAGGATTCACAACCCCTGACAGATGAGGAAGGTGGCTAGCAGCATGTTCACCCAGCCATTTGCCAACAGACCCATTCAGCTATACACTGCGCTATAAGTCAGGGAAGGAATATTGTATGTGTGAGACCAGCCAGCGTTGCTGCTGCCATGCCCATTTGTTGCCTGCTTGTTTTTCTCTCTCTCTCTCTTCCTGCCTTTCTTCTTATTTTTCATCCTGGAAGTGTTACCGTGCATCTGTTTGGTTCATGCCCTACACACCCGCATGGAAGTATTTTACCCGCTGTGCCTCTGTCGCAT